TTAACAAATAAACAAGACTAGGTTAGATTTCCATCTGACATTTTTCATCAGTGTCCCTTCAAAAGGCAACATTGGAGATTTATGAATGAAATTAATTTTGAACTCTGTATCAGACCATGCCAATTCCTTAGCTTTGTAGATTCCAAAATCTGTTTCCAAATTAGGTATTTCATTAGCTTTAATGTATCTTTTAACCTGATTCAGACTTTAGGATGCATTTTGTCATTTGGGGTCATTCATAATTTACTCTTTAGGAAATTATTGTATGAATAACAGCTGGAGAAAATCATCCTCCCTGCTCTGTTCAAAGAATTGAGGTAATAACAACAAGTTAGCACAGGTTTCCCTGGGCACTGAGATAAGCTACTTGGGTAATATAGTGGCTGAGACCACAAGGAGGGGATAGTAGGAAAGAAAACAAATATTTATTGAATACATATTCTTTGCCAAATATTATGTTAGAAAGTTATTATCCCCATTTTTTAAGTGAAGAAAACTGAGGCTTAGAAATGCTAAATATTTTTGTTTAATACACATTTATTGGAGATTTACCATGTGCCAGGAGTTGTGCTGGGCCCTGGAGATAAAAAGATGACTAAGATGTAGGAATAAACGGCAGGTACATGAATTAAACCCAGGTCCATCTGCTCCTGAAGCCTACACCATAGCTAATATGCCTCCCATGGAACATTGCCTAGGCCAGAATCACTTTTCCTGACATGAAAATGAGACCAAGAACCAGAATAGAGTCTGTTTTTTCAGTGTTTTAACATCAGGACAATGTTCTTGGGAATTTTCATAATTAGAACCATTTCTCAGTGTAGTAAAGGAATTTTATAATTCTCAATTTTATGATTTTAATATTCTCAAGATTCCTATAAAATTGAAAACAGATATTCACTCTCAATTAACAAATCATATATCACTCTCATTTAAAACATAGAAAGAAAAAAACCCCAAAGCTTAATAAGATTACTTAATGAAGATCCTAGAATGAAAAAAGAAGAAATGATCATCTGGGTTTAACGGTCCAGACAAGACAGTGAGTTAGCACAGATTATTGGCTTCTCCCAACCACCGCAATGCAACTCAACCTTGGAGATGCCACATGAGAGTTTAAGTAGCTAAAGGAGCACAAAGCCTTCATTATTTATAACTAACTGCAAGTAGCCCTTGGGAGGACAAAAGTGTTAAGAAGAACAGCCTTGGAAGTTAGGTCAGAGGCCAAAGAGAGATTTCTCTCCTCCACATTGTCTTGTCAGATCCCTGCTCACATGCTGCTGCCTCAAGGCAGGCCAGTGTAAGTCCAAGGTGGTATAAACTCAGGGCAGTAATGCAGCCCAGTAAACTATTGGGAGTGTGAAGCCAAAAACAGAGTTCAAAATATCAAGAACTCAATGAGTAGCTTGAATAACAGAGTGAATAAACATAGCTGAAGAAAGAATTAGTGAGGTAGAAAATTATATACAAAGACTATCCTAAAAGTCATTAGAAAGGGATAAAAGTTGGAGAGAATGAAGTAGAAGTTAAGTAATATGGAAGATAGAACTAGAAGTAATAGGCTCCCTCAATTATGAATTACAGATGGAGATAAATCAGCTTCCATACGGAGAAAAGAAAATATTCGAAAAGTAATGGTGAAGAATTTCCTAAAATTAAAGGAAAAATATGTGCTTTGCACTATTTGTCCTGTACTACTGTAGTATGTGATCTACTAAAAAGAGTTGACCAAGAAAGAAAAAGACATGGGATCCAGGAAATAAGAGTTTCATATCAGGAGAGAAGCAAAAGAGATTCTTGAGTTAATGGGGAGAGGAGATTCCAGGATGACTGTCATGTGGCAGAGCTAGGGAGCAACCAGTTAATATTAGAGATGGAGATCAGAGGAGAGCTCTGGGAGAAATGACTCCAAGAAAATGAATTTTAGAATATCTGATATGTTTGAATGTATTGAGAAGAGACTTAATCATGGCAGAAATTTTAGGGGTGAATTGGTGTTCAGTACCTACAAAACTAAGCAAGTAAAAAGCAAATCAATTATTCATGCTAAGGAAGAGAAAAATTTGTACAACAAAGAAAATATGAGAACAGATTACAATGCTTAGTTTTGAATAATCTCCATTTTACATAAATTGTGTTCCAAAAATGGAAAAAGGGAAACCTGACTGTATTAGTTTGATGGTGCTGCCATAACAAAGTACCACAAACTGGGTGGCTTAAATGACAGAAACTTACTATCTCGCAGTTCTGCGGGCTGGGAGTCCAAAAGCAAGGTGTTGGCAGGGTCGGTTCCTTTTGAAGGCTGTGAGGGAGGAATCTCTTCCAAGCATCTCTCCATAGCTTATAGATGGCTGTCTTCCTGGTCATGTGGCATTTTCCATGTATACAGTAGCCAAATCACCCCTTTTTAGAAGAACACCAGGCATATTGGATTAAGCCCACCCTACTGAACTTACTTTAACTTAATTACCTCTGTAAAGATCCTAACTCCAAATAAGTTCATATTCAGAGGTTCTGAGGGTTAGAACTTCAAAATATGAATTTTGGTGAGACACAATTCAGCCCATAACACTGACCAACACATTTCATGGAATTAGTATATCCTTGATACCAAAAATGAATAAGAATTTAATTGAATAAGCACTGATTTGTTACAGTATAATAAAGATATTTATAGGTCAACTTCATGTATTAACAGAGATGTAATAATCTTAAATAACTGAATCCAATAGCATACCAAAAAATTTTATAATTAAGTCAGGTTTATCCTTGGAATAGAAGAATGAGTGATCAGACAGTCTATAAGTACAGTTCACCACTTTAATGGAAAAAAATAGAAAATCACCTGATCATTTCAGATACAAAACAATGTTTGATAAAGTTCAGTACTTACATTTATAATTTGAGAAAACTTTGAAAAAACAAGAAAAATAGCTTAATGTGATAAATAAAACAATTAGGTTAAAATAACAAAATGTAATGTAACATCTTTGTGACTTAGGGCAGAGAATGACATTTTTTTTAAATTGACGTATAGTTGATTTACAATATTGTGTTAATTGCTGCTGTAGAGAAAAATAATTCAGTTATACATATATATACATTTTTTAATATTCTTTTCCATTGTGGTTTATCATAGGATATTGAATATAGTTCTCTGTGCTATGCAGTAGGACCTTGCTATTTATCCATTCTATTTATAAACACTTACATCTGCTAATCTCAAACTCTCACTCCATCCCTCCACCAACCCCCTCCCCCTTGGCAACCACCAATCTGTTCTCTATGTACGTGATTCTGTTTCTGTTTCATAAATAGGTTCATTTGTATCATATTTTAGATTCTACATATAAGTGATATCATGTAGTATTTGCCTTTCTCTTTCTGACTTACTTCACTTAGTGTGATAATCTCTAGTTGCAACCATGTTGCTGCAAATAGCATTATTTCATTCTTATTTATGACTGAGTAGTATTACACTGTATATATGTACCACATCTTCTTTATCTATTCATCTGTCGATGGACATTTAGGTTGCTTCCATGTCTTGACTATTGTGAATAGTGCTGCTATGAACATAGGGGTGTGTGTATCTTTCTGAATTATAGTTTTGTCCACTTATATGCCCAGGAGTGGATTGCTGGATGATATGGCAATTCTATTTTTAGTTTTCTGAGGAACTTCCATACTGTTTTCCACAGTGGCTGCACCAACTTACATTCCCACAAACAGTGTAGGAGGGGAGAATGACTTCTTAAACAAAACTTCAAAAGCATAAATCACAAGTCAAAACAAAACATCTAAACTAAATTTTAACATCAAAATTAAGAATTTTAGTTCAATTGAGAGCACTACGCACAAAGTTCCTACACCTACCAAAATGGGAAAAGATACTTGTGGCATCTAAACCAATAAAGAATAAATTTGTGAACATACAAATAACTCCTAAAAATCAATAAGGTAATAACTCTTATAAAGTGGGCAAGGCAATTTATAGAAGAGCAAACCCAGGAAGTTAATAAGCATTCATCAAGGTGCTCAAAACCATTGGTAATCAGTGAAATGCAAATTAAAACAATTAGATTGGCAAAAAGAGAAAGTTGGATAATGCCAAGTATCAGTGAGGCTATGGGGACAGAGGGACCTTCATACACTGCTAGAGCAATGGTAGGCTGGTGCCAATTTATCAGTACTTAGCCTTACTAAGTAGGCATTTGCCTTATGAGCCAGTAATTCCACTTGGGCATGTATCCCAAGGAATTGATTCTTTGGGTCTATAAGGGGACACGAAAGGGATTTGGAGTGCCCTGGGTATTTATCACTGTGAATGAGAATAGGAAAAATGTGATTGGTACACATCATGAAGTATTATATAACAATTAGAATTAAAGGACTAGATGTTCACACACTCGGTGAAAAAAGTTGGAAACAGAAGAAGATGTATAATACAGTATTATTTACGAAAAGTTAAAAATTATATACACTCAAAAATACATAAAGATATACATAAAACACATTAATCTTGCTGGAGGGAAATGGTAGTGGTATGAGGATAAAATGGGATACATAAATAGAGGAAGGAAGGAAGGAAAGAAGGAAGGAAGGAAGGAAGGGAGGGAGGGAGGGAGGGAGGGAGGGAGGGAGGAGGGGAGAAAGGAAGGGAAAATGGAAGGGAGAGAGGGAGGGAAGGAGGGATGGAGGAAGAAAGAAAGACATATTAGTTAGCTATTTTTGCAATAATAATGCATAACAAATATTAGAATTTCAGTGGTTTACAACAAACATTTATTTCTCATGCATGTGCAGGTCAGCTGGGGGTTGGCTGATCTAGACTGGGAACTTGGTTAAAAGCTACAGGTTGGGGCTTCCCTGGTGGCGCAGTGGCTGAGAGTCCGCCTGCCGAGGCAGGGGACACGGGTTCATGCCCTGGTCCGGGAAGATCCCACATGCCGCGGAGCAGCTGGGCCCGTGAGCCATGGCCGCTGAGCCTGCGCGTCTGGAGGCTGTGCTCCGCAACGGGAGAGGCCACAACAGTGAGAGGCCCACGTATCACACATTAAAAAAAAAAAAAGCTACAGGTTGAGTCCAGATCTGTTCCATATGTTTCTTCTCATTCTCCCTAGACTAGTGGCTACCCAAGGTATGTTCTTCTTGTGATGAAGAGCAGGAGCTGAAGTGTGTGAATTTAACCAGGTTAATGCAATGGGACCAGCATCCTATTGGCTGAAGCAAGTCATATGGCCAAGCCCAAGTCAAGTATCAAGAAAAATGCCCCACCCACCAGGAGGCTACGGCGAGGATGTAGACATATAATACCAGTGTAGGAAATTTTAATTCTTGGAATCAATAATTCCATTTACTGTGATAGGTAGATAGCTGTTATGTGTGTGCGTATGCCTATACATAGATACATAAGTACACATATTCTTAAAAAAACAAAGAAATGAAGAGGAGTTTTGTATGGACAAGTAATGAAATAATCCATAAACTGAGGAGTATGATTGATCACCAGTGTACACCTAAGTTCCAAAAAACTAAACCAAAGCAAAACCAAAACAAACAACGCAAAACGGAACAATATGTGAGTAGAAAGTTCAGACTGAACATCAAGGGTGGCACTGCAAAATATTCTAATTAGTCATCTCCATACTCGTTATAGAGAACAATAGTACAAAGAGAATGTACTATCATCCTTACTTGGAACATGTAAATGTGCTGTTTATTTACAAAAATAAGTGGAATCCACACTGCTAAATAAGCTATGATGTGGCTTTGTTCTAAGCAATGCAGCAACAGCGGGGAGAGTGTCTAAAGCTTTGGACCTCCAATATAAAGTGAGATGAGACCTGTTCTGACACCACTCTATTCTGGGCTGCTTAAGGTACCAAAGCCAGCTCTTTGCTATTACATACACATTTAGCATATCAGAATGAAAAACAAAGATTTTACACAGAGGTTGCTCATGAAAATCTGTTAATGGAAAAGAATTTGGTAGATATGACCACATCTAAATTAAAGACTTCCATTACTGACAAATCAGCAAAATATTGTGAAAAAGATATTTACAAAAGAGACGTGGAATTGGTATCTAGAATATATAAGAAACTTCACAAACAAATAAGAAAAAGAGAGCAAATTTAAAAGAAAAAAATGGGCAATGGACATGTACAGGCAATTGACAGATGGGGAAGTGGAAACAGCTACTATAGTATATGGAAGATATACATCCTCATTAGTAATCAGAGACATGCAAAATTTAAAAAATGAGATATTATTTTCTACCTACCAAATTGGCAAAAATTATAAAGTGCTGGCAAGGATGTGGGGAAATTTCACCCTCACTGGTGGTGAAGTGCAAACATTCTGTATAGCAATTTGAAAGTACTTAATGAAGTAAACTGTGTATATACCCTTACAACTCAGAAGCTCCACTCTTGGGAATAAACTCTAGAGAATCTCTTGCTCAGAAATCCATAAGGAAACATGATGATAGAGTATTGCTGTAGCATTATTTGTGGTACCAAAAAGTTGAAAGCAATCAAGTACCCTCTAGAGAATCTAAGTACCTGTTAGATATCCACTAGGGAAATGAATAAGTAAAACGGGCTCTATGCAAGAATCAGAAATGGTATACGCATCGGTATTGAAATAATCTGTAGGACTCAGAAGCAATGAACTGGATTTATACAGAGAAAAATGTGTAGTTGTCAAAACACTCCTTCAAATGAAAAGTCAGAAAGAGAATGAGATGCATAGCACATTACCATTTATACAACTTTAAGATGCATACAAAAATGACACAATAAAATCTTTCAAATAAACACAAACTAAATAAACACATGGAAGGTGAATTAGAAGAATCTATATAAAAACTCTTTTAAAAAGGTGTTCATGGGAGTGCTAGGGGTATTAGGGATGGAGACCAAGGCAGAAACAAAATAAGATGAAATAAAATAATAAAATAAAATAGGGGTCTTGCAAGAATGACAGTGTTTCATGAATTATCTCAATTCTGTCTACCTCAGATAACAAATAAACAGCCATTTGGGTCCCTCTAACAATTCTCTCTACTTCTTGGAAAAGTGCTATGATCAGAAAGTATATTTTCAAGTCCTTAAAGAAGTCCAGCAGCAGAAAGCAAACTAGAATGGTAGAAAATAATGCCATTTATAGATTCTCTTGGCTAATTATTCATTTATATGCAGCAGTGGAACCGTGCTGGTCTAGAGAGATATTCCATTCGTTTTGAAACAAGTTTACAGCAAATGAGTGATTAAACAACGGCATTTGTGTAAATTAAATCATTTTCGCTTTGTTCCCACGCAGTGACCATCATTTGAGGACTAAACGTCCGATCAAATAACTCTACGTATCTGACCAAATAGCTGATTACCAGGAAATGCGCAGGCTAGAAACGTTCCGACACAAGTTAGGCAGCTCCAAATCTCTCTCAGTCTTCTTTTAAACAAACAGAGACACCGAGAATGGCATGAACCCCAAGCAAGTAGAAAGTTCTGAGAGAACATAAAGGTGGCATCTCAAATAAGTTCAATTAGACACTTCCTACTCATCATAGGGAACAATTAGTATAATGGGATTGCACTGCCCTCTTTATTTGGAACCTGTAACTGTGCTGTTTATTAATAAAGGTAAATGGGACCCATGCTGCAGAATAGTGCTATGGTGCGGATCTCTTCCAAGCAGACCTTCAACATGGGCAGGAAAGAGTCTCTCCAGCTCTGGAGCTCTAATATAAAGTAAGATGAGACCCTTTTTCATCTGGCTCCACGCTATTCTGGGCTGTTTAATGTACCAGCGCCAGCTCTTTGCCACTAGAAGTATCTTTAGCATATTGGAAGGAAAACCAAAAGCAAGGATTTTACATAGGAACTAATCAGATAATTACATGGGTATCCAAAAGCCAGACAGTAAGGGATAGTAAAAACAATATAATTAAATAACTTGACTGAGGGAGGAAGACTAAGGGAGAGGAGTGTCTGCCCCAGAGCCTGGTTGCTGAATACATTTTATCAAAGAAAGAAATCGAAAGGAGACTTTGATGCAGAAGCACATTCACTCTCAGAAGATGGATGGTCCTTAATAATCCCAAACCTCCCCCTTGACCCAGCGTTCTGTTTTCGGCGAGAACTCAAATCGTGATTCTAACTGAAAACAGAACGGCAAGGAAGATGGGGGAGGAGTGAACATTTTCACCACATTCCAGGTCAATTCTTCCAATTCCCAAGGCTTGGGAATGACGGCCACAAGAAATTTAGGATCCTTAAGGATGGCATTCTATAAATACCGATTATTTTCAGTTAACGTTCTTGCTGTCAATATAGCATTTCCATCTGCCACGGTCTTCCAGGCCATTTCTGAAGCTGCCCCAAATGATGCCTCCAAAGAGCTGGCCATCTTTACTTCCAGGTCGCAGATGGTGAGGCTGAGAGGTTAAGTGAGTCGCCTTCGTTGTGAGGCATCAGGTGCCAGTGTGGGATTATCTCTGTGAGTTTCTGACTCTTTGTACCACAAATAAATCTTTCCAGGGTAAAACACATCGTATGGCATCTGCTGAGCAGTGTAGACCTCTTGGGATGTCACATCTACCTGTAGGGGTACCCAGCAGGTGCTCATCTATGGCTCCCCTCGATAACACAGGTGTACATCATATTTATTCAGCAGCAAGAATAGGAGGTTCATTAGAAGAACAAGTGTTGAGTGGGCCCCAGACCTTCCAGGTCACTAACAAGACTGAGACGTGTCATAAGCAAACACATTGGTTCTTAAAAGGTGTCACTTAAGGAGAGGAGTAAACTGCTTGTTATCCTGAGAAGGCAGCATGACGTGGATAGGAAGAGTGCAACCTTGGAATTAGACTTGATTTGATTCTTGTTCTCCAACACTTACTAGCTGAGTGAACCTCAGCCTCACTTTCCTTGTCTGCAAAAGAGAGGAGGGGGTACTAGTGGGGTTATTGTATGTACCCCCCAAACTCCTAACCTCCAGAACTTCCAAATGTGACTTTCCTTGGAAATCGGGTCTTTGCAGATGTAGTCAAGCTAACATGAGATCATTAAGATGGGCTCTAATGCAACATGACTGATGTCCTTATAAAAAGAGGAAAGTTGGACACAGGGAGACATGTGCAGAGGGAAGACATGTGAAGGGACATAGAAGGAACACCAGGTGAAGATGGGGGATTGGAGTAATGAATCTGCAAGCCAAGGAATGTCAAGGATTGCTGAGAACCACCAGATGCTAGGAAGAGGCAAGGAAGGGTATTTCCCCTCCAGGTGTCTGAGGGAGCATGGCCCTCCCATAATCTTGATTTCAGACTTCCAGCCTCCAGAACTGTGAGACAATGAATTTCTCTTGTTCTAAGTGACCCAGTTGGTGGTACAGCAGCCATGGGAGATTAATTCATTGTAAATATTAAAAGCAATTACTTATGTAAAGTACATAGTAGGACCTCAATAAATTCAAGTCCCCTTCTTCAAAGAAAAGGATTTATACATTGGAATGCAGACAAATACTGCTCCCTTTCTCTCTGGAATTCCACTATGGTCTAACCACATGGCAGATGGATATTTGAGTCTGCTGAGAGCTGCCTTAAATTCTATAGATCAGTGCCAGAAATTATCTGGTTTCCTGGGAGGATTTCTGAGTTAGAAAGGACTGAGAACCTAGCCAAAATTCCTAGGTCTGAACTGAAACAGGAAACTCCTGACTGGGACAGAAACTGCCATTTATTGGGAAGAGCTGGGAAGCTTTTCTCCAAGGGGCGCTGGGACATAGTATCAGGCCAAGCCTAACTCCTGCACCCTGGGTTCCACCCACCCCATAGCTTAGGGCCTTCGATACTCACCTGCAGGGTCAGTCCTGGTCAAGCTTCTCAAACTCTGTAACACTTAAAGGAGCATCTGCTTTGAGGGGTGTTGGATGAAGTGGTTGACTATGAACACTGGAGCCAGACTGCCTGCGTTGATCCCATCTCTGCTACTTGCTGTGCATCCTTGGGCAAGTTACTCTCCAAGCCTCAGTTTCTTCCTCTGAAAAATGGGCATAATGATAATAGTACCCAACCCACAGGCTTATTGTGGGGATTAATTAACACAGCCAAAGCATATGGATTGGTCCCCACCCGCTCTCCAATCCTGGCAGCTGATTCCTAATTCAAGCCTGAAGCCCTTATCTTGCTAGCTTGCCTCGTATTCAGTTTCTTTAAAACCAAGACCTATACCAGACTTTCTCTACAATCTCAAACCATTGTCATGGAAGGGAAGCCAGTGTCTGTGGCCCTGCTATCTCCCCAAAGACATCCATGATGCTGCCCACCTGCCAGGTTGTGCAAACGCTTTGAACTCTCTGCCGCTGGGCTCCACCTTCTCATGGGGTCACATGATGATCCTCTGTGTGAACACTTCCAGTGATGGCAAACGGCTGGGCTATTACCTGCCACCTGACAGCCAGAATGGACTTGCTCCATGTCTCAGTAGCTGGAGTGTCCTTCAAAAATCTGCCCAGACACCCACAAGCAGGCTGGATGCCTCCTGTTTGCTCTCACTTCCTGCAGTAAATGGAGTCATGTCTGAATGACAGACCGGATGTTTCCACACCCTGCCAAAATGGAATCTGCTCATTTTGACCACAAAGCTGCTAAACATTAAAAATATGTGGTGACTACACAGGCACTTGACAATGTCTATTTAATGATGACAAACTCATCACACGCAAGACATCACATTTGGTTGAACCAAATCGTGAGATTAAGCAGAATTGGAAAGTCAACATTTGTCAGGCTTTATAAAAGCTTCTCTCATTTTGCAACAGTTATTCTCACTCTTCAATAAGTGGTATTTAGAAAAAACATCAACAACAACAAAATACCAAAGTCAAAAATTAAATCCTGGAGGGGCTTCCCTGGTGGCGCAGTGGTTGAGAGTCCGCCTGCCGATGCAGGGGACACGGGTTCGTGCCCCGGTCCGGGAAGATCCCACATGCCGCGGAGCGGCTGGGCCCGTGAGCCATGGCCGCTGAGCCTGCGCGTCCGGAGCCTGTGCTCCGCAACGGGAGAGGCCACAATAGTGAGAGGCCCGCGTAACGCAAAAAAAAAAAAAAAAATTAAATCCTGGGCTTCCCTGGTGGCGCAGTGGTTGAGAGTCCGCCTGCTGATTCAGGGGACACGGGTTCACGCCCCGGTCCGGGGTGGGGTCCCACGTGCCGCAGAGCGGCTGGGCCCGTGAGCCATGGCCGCTGAGCCTGCGCGTCCGGAGCCTGTGCTCCGCAACGGGAGAGACCACAACAGTGAGAGGCCCCCGTACCGCAAAAAAACAAAACCAAAAACAAACAAAAATTAAATCATTTTCTATTCTTCATTTCCTCAGGATGACTCTACCTATAAAGTATTAGTTAATTTCTACAAACTGAATAGCTGAAAGGGTAACTGATATGAGGAACACTTACGAGCTAGCGAGGCTTGTTTAACATTTGTCTAGTACTAATTATGTTTCAAACTCTGTGCTAATTGCTTCGCACAAATAATATAATTGCATCCTCAGAATACACTTGTAAATTGGGTACAAATGCTATGTTTGCTTTGTTTTTTAACAGATAAGGAAACTGAGGCACCAAAGATGTGAAATAACTTGAACAAGATTCAAAATCGACTTTAGCTGAAATCTGAACCTAGGTCCAAGTTCAGACCCCGTACGATGAAGTTGAAGAAATTAAACTCTTCTACACTCTTCCTTTTCCAGTTGGTTTTGGTTCCTACAGCATGGCAGTGTCCAACTAAGCATGCTCCTTCCAAATGTATTCAGTAGCATTTGCTTGAGAGAGTCCCAGCCGCAAACACTACCCTCATTGTCTCAGCATAATGCAAAGTCACTGTGGACCTGGGCAGCAGAGGCAGGGAGTTCCTTTCCAGCTTCATTCACTAACCCTGGGGGAGGCCGGGCTGGGGAAAACACTAGAACCCAGTTCTCCCAGCCAGCAGCCAGCCTGGCTGGTGGACAGAGGTGGAAAGTGATTGGGATCTGTCTCAGGTGATGGTTCACCTCTGGCTGAGGGAGTCCCTGTAAGCTGATCTTTGGAGATTTCAAGTCCGTTGATGAAAATGGGAATGGAGGAGGGACCTTGGTAAAAATGTTTAGGAATGTAGGCAGGAGATTGGTGGCAAAACTCTCCCCACCCCAATCAAAGGAAATGGCTTTAGGAAGTTGAGTCTCTACCCCTGTTCCTCTTTCCCCTTTATAAATCTACCCTAAATAATCTTCAGGGAATTCGAGCGGTTGCTTTCTCCCTGGCAATGACGGGAATTCCAACTATAGGCCAATTAGAATACACCCAGAGCTGCCAGTAAAATGTTTCACTGACTTCACTTTATTGGTTTCATAAAACAAGTGAAAGAAATCGGAGAAAGTCCAGAGCCTCACCAAGATGCAAGTCTCTTTCTGAAGCAGCTTGAAGCCTGCCCCGTGGGCCCCCCATCTCGCATCGCTTCCTCCACCGTGCTGCTTTTAGCTGCTGCCACCTGCGCAGGATCCTGTGGTATCAGGATACCAGCTCACACACCCGAGCTGTAGTCCTTACTTCCTTGAATATTTGATCTGCGTCCTTGAAGGATTTACTTCCTTTCTCTGAGCCTCAGTTTCCTCCTTTGTCAGTTTCAGGTGATACTCCTTTCATAAGTATCTCAGGCATGGGTGTAGTTTTAGATCTTGGAGAGTGGTCCCTAAGAGATGCGAGGGATTGTCTTCATCCTCTCCCCTCCCCACGTTACACTTCTGTGTTGGTTTTCTCTCAGCGTTTCCAGTCTCAGCATAAATTATCCTTTTGCTCCTATTGACTCCTTACTGTCAGTGCTGCCTGTGTGTGTGTGTTTGTGAATGCACGTGCCCAGCATGTCTGTATCCTTGTCATTCTTTCTTTGTTCTTTCCCCAGGCTTCAGTGAGAGTAGAGAATGGAATGGAATGTCCTTGACCACCTCCCTCCCCCTCACCGGGAGGAGCAGGGCCACCTACTACCTCCCCTCTCCAGCCCCCTCCCCATCCTCACAAGTGCAGCCGATGAAATGAAAGCCGAGGAAGAGTGATTCGATTATTTGCCTGACCTTTGCCAGTGCCGGAACGTAGGGAGGTCCACGTGTTTCCCTCCAATGCCCCTTTGCGGCCTTTCTGAACTTGTCCCCAAAGAAGCCCTCCTGTTCGAATCAGCCTCCGAGGGCTGGATGTTGTTCAAAGCCGAGCGGACCCGCCTCCCAGCACTCCTCTCCACCATCCCCCCTTTAAGCCGCATCGTGTTCACTACAGACAACAATTACTGACAGTAATTAGCTGCCCGGAATAACAAGGACGTTATCTTTGCCCAGCTTTACTCCAAAGGCGCATGAGCAAACCTGACTGGGCTCGAGCACAGTTGAAAATTCCCTTTTAGAATCCTGGGAAATATGACCCTTGCCCCTTCCTTATAACCTGTAGAGCCAATTTTCCTCTTTATTAGGTTGGGTTTTCGGGGTAGAGTACAAAGGGGTGGAGAGAAAACTTGTGTTTAAGAAAGCTGTCACTTTGTCCATAATTTTTGACAAGTCTATCGCTTGACTAGAATGATTTTACCATACACCCTCTCTTTTATGCATTTCTTGGGTTATAATGCTTCAGGTGGCCTTGAAGTTGTCCATATCGAGGCAAAAGCACCAATCAAATGTGCAGCTAGAGAGGGGAAAGGGTGAGAAGTTAAGACTCTATTTAAACTGCCGGAGAGGTTGGGAAACCAACTTACCAAAATAGCAGTATCAAAAAAAAAAATCTGAAAAACAAATTCACCACCAAACAGTTTCTACTGCTCCATTTATTTCAACTAGTGTGGTATTAATAGAACACCTAACAGCAGGGAGTTGGAAAATAAATGTATTCTCACTCACAAGGGAATGACTAAATGACTCACAAATGCAAAAATAAATAAATGGCTCCCTGTGAAAATCTGAAACTATATTACCCTGACTGAAACAACTAAGCATTTTAACTGTAACCTAACATGTTAAATTCAATCAGTTTTATTTGAGGCCATAGATAGATCAAGCGATCAATCTCCATCATCCTGGATTTTTTTTTTTCATCTTCACACTGCTATTTTTCTTCCTATAAGACATTTCAGTTCATTTCCGTGAGCCTTCTTCTTCAGTTTAACGGCTGATTCTCAGACCTAAATAAATAAATAAATAATTCCCCCTTACGCTAGAGGGAATGGGAACAATAGTACAATTAAAAAAAATTGAACAATGGGAACAATAGTTCAATTAAAAAAATTGAACAAGAGTACAATTAAAAAAAATTTTTTTTGAGAAGGGCAAGTCTTAATTCTATGTAGTAAAGAGGAGAAGGGAGGATGTGGTGTGAGAAAAAGGTAACAGGTAGATAAATAGTGCGTGTTATACCTTGTTTCAGATGTTATTTTAAATGTTAACAGGTGCTTCCTCCTGACACTATAAAAAGATCAACTTTCTGTCTCCTTTGTAATTTGTGAACAGGTAGGCCCTGAGGACTTGAATGAGGTCATGCCAATTAACTCACCGATTCCTGCAATCAGAGTGATAATGACATCCTTAGCAACCATCCCATCACTATGGTACCAGCCTGCTGCTCTAAAAGCCCTTTTCATTGGTGCTAGTTTGAAGTTAGGAGGCTGACGCTGTGATCCTGAAAGCCACAGACTGAGAATTTACATTAACGCACCCCTCCATCTCACCAGGGTCACGTCTCTCCTCTTTCAGAAGAGAAGTGAGAAAAAAAAAACTGTTCTCTGGTTCTAAAAGTTAAGGATTGGGGCTTTTCCCAAACACATTATAAATCACTGGTTGGCTCTTTGGAATCATCTCTTATTAAGAGAAGCTAATGAACTTCAGCTTTCAACCTTAGGCCAGCCCGATTACACTGAACACATGTATTCCTTGCATAAAAACTACTTGTTACTGGACTGCCTTTATCAATAAAGACTTTATCAGTTACTTCACAGGATAAGAATTGATACCCCAAAGAAAAACCATTAGCAATATCTAAGCATTTCTTCCCCACAGTGCTTTAAAATTTTTTAGCTCTCTGGAGATAAACTGAATACAAATAAATAAGAGAAGGAGAGAGACCAGGAATGTATAGTTAAAAAATGTCTTGGGTGGGCAAATTAATCTCAACAACCTTCTCCAGCTAGAAACATTGTAGTTTGAGCCAACATTCATTATTCTGAACCTCTCCTATATGCCCCTTGTTATATTAGGCATTTTGGGAAATCCATAAAGATCTAAGACACTTTAGTGTGTCATTTCAAAGAACTTAAAATCTATGTGGGAAGAGAGAGAGGCATCTGAACAATGACAACAAAATTCTGTTTGGGAAGAGAAGGCTTTAAGATGTAAGATTTTCATGGCCATAAGACTCCTTAAAAGACCTCTGACAGTATAAATAATAAAATGAAAGAAAGGAAGGAAGGAAGAAGGTGGGGACAAAGGAAAGAAAGAAGGAAGGAGCAAAAAGCCTCAGAAGCAACCAGAGACTG